AATTCACCCTTTCGTTATCGATCTCAGAAATGATTCAACCTTGAATCAATTTTTACCTATTCAATCTTGGATGGGTCTTTGCCCATTGGCCTTCCTTTCCTGCTCGATCTTAGATTTTCGATCTTGGTTGGGTTTTTGCCCATTCGATCTTGGGTTTCTTTTCCCACTCGATCTTAGATTTGCGATCTTAATTGGGTCTCTGCCCATCCGATCTTGGGTTTTCTTTTCCCACTCGATCTTTGATTTCTGATCTTGATTGGGTCTCTGCCCATCCGATCTTGAGTTTTCCTTTCCCACTCGATCTTTGATTTCCTATCTTGATTGGGTCTCTGCCCATTCGATCTTAGGTTTTCTTTTCCCACTTGATCTTATGTTTTCGATCTCGATTCGATCCTCATCCCTTAGTTTATACTCTTCAGCTTTAGACTTTATTTTAAGATTCGGATGAAATGCAACTTTATTTATCAAACAATAAGGAGATGTCAACAGACATCTAGGGATACACCCTTCAATATACAAGGAAAATAGAAAGGGATTTACCCTTCAACATTACTGGAAACATAAATTTAAATATGGGAAACATAAACACGAAAAGTTAAATGTGGTACTTTCTCAAATGAATTGCGTTCCACTGGCGCAGTACATACTGACCTGTTTCAACGTGCTTGAGTTTATAAGCTCCATTTCTGAAGGCTTCGGTCACCTCATATGGTCTTTCCCATATGCGTCCAAGCTTCCCTGCATTCAAATCTTTTGTGTTTTCCATGACCTTTCTCAACACCCATTCTCCTACCTTGAATCTTTTTTACTTAACCTGCTTGTTGAAGTAAGCGGCGGCAACTTGGTTATGGTAGTTCACAAGTCGTAGTGCGGCGACCTCTCTTTGTTCCTCGACTAAGTCGAGGTTATGGGCTAGCTGCAGGTCGTTCTTACCGTTTTCCACAACTAATGTTCTGACCGTAGGTAGACCGACCTCTGTGGGGACAACCGCTTCAGTACCATAAGCAAGAGAGAATGGGCTTTCACCCGTTGGCTTCCGTTTTATGGTACGATAAGCCCATAGTACATTAGGAAGTTCCTCATGCCACTTTCCTTTACATTGTTCCAACTTTTTCTTTAAACAATAAAAAATCGTTCGATTCGTCTTCTCTGTTTGGCCATTGCCCTGGGGATAACTCCTAGAAGAGAATTGTAATGTGATCCATTTCTCGGTGCAATAGCTTCTAAACTTCCGATTGTCGAACTGTGTTCCATTATCCGTCACAATCGCCCCTGGTACGCCAAACCGGCATATAATGTTCCGCCATACGAATCTTACAACGTCATCTTGCATGATAGAAACATACGCTTCTGCTTCTACCCACTTAGTGAAGTAGTCTGTGGCGAGAAGGACGAACTTGTTACTTCTGGGCGCCCTCGGCAACAAGCCTACGATATCCATGCCCCATTTTACGAATGGCCAGGGTCCTACGACTGGATTAAGTTATTCGACAGGTTGTCTAACAACTAGGGCATATTTCTGGCACTTGTCGCACTTTATTACATACTGTTCCACGTCTCGAGCCATGTACGACTAGAAGTAACCTTGAGTTAATGCTCGATGTGCTAAGCTTCTTCCTCTTGAGTGATTCCCACACATTCCTTCATGTAATTCTCTCAGAACCCATTTGGAATGCCTTGGATTTAAGCACCTGAGGTAAGGTCCTGAGAATGACCTCCTATAGAGCGTGTCGCTAAGGATTGCATATCTTACTGCTTTCATTTGGAGTTTTCTCGCTTCCACAAGATCTTCCGATTGGATCTCTTTTGTCAGGTAGTTTACGATTGGAGTCATCCAACAGTCTTTATCTTCAACTTGAGCTTGCTTTGGCAACGGGTTGTCAAATCTCGACATTTGCCCGTCGATTTGCATCACGTCTGATTGCATTACTCCAATACTCGGGGAGTACATATATTCTACTTCGGCTACCCGCAGGTTCTCTTGTGCGGTTAACACCCGCACGCTAGCTGATCCGCTCTTTTGTTCATCTCTCTAGGTATTTACTTCAGCTCGAAATACTTAAATCCATTCGCCAGCCCTTTAACAAGTTGCTGATATGCCTCTATCCTCACATTTTTAGTCGTATACTCTTTAGTTGCTTGGCCGACGATGAGTTGTGAATCACTATGCACGGTAAGACAGCTTATCTTCAATTGTTTTGCAAGTTCAAGGCCTAGTACCAAGGCTTCGTATTCTGCCACGTTGTTTGATGCAGGAAAATCCAACCGAATCGAACACTCTAAGTCTATACCTTCAGGAGAAATTAAAATGATCCCTGCCCCAGCTCTTGCTTGACTGGATGACCCATCCACATAAAGCTCCCATTTGATCTCATTATGGTCGACTTTTGCAATTTCTTCGCATTCACCCTACAAACTTTCACGAGGATAACATTCTACAAGAAAGTCAGCAATTACCTGTCATTTGGCTGCGTTCGAGGCCGATACTTTATGTCAAAGGAACTAAGTTCGATGGCCCACTTCGTAATTCTTCCTGATAAGTCTAGTTTAGGTAAGATAGCCCTCATCGGTTGATTAGTTAACATCACAATGGTGTGTGCCTCGAAGTACTAACAGAGCTTCTTCTTTGCGGTTACTAAGGCCAACACCATCTTCTCAGTGGGCGAATACCTCTTTTCTGCATCGATTAAACTTTTGCTCACGTAAAATATGGGTTGTTGGACCGAGCCTTCTTCTCTGAATAACGCAGCGCTTACTGCCTATTCGCTTACTGCTAAGTACATGTATAACAACTCCCCTTGCTTGGGAATGGTTAACAACAATGGGCTTGTGAGTTATTTCTTCAGTTGTTCAAAAGCTTCCCTTTGCTCCTACCTCCACACATCTCCTTTCCGGTTTTGTATGTCCTGAAAAAAAGGTTTGCATCGATCGAATGATCGTGAGATAAAATGACTAAGGGCAGCGATTCGCCCGGTTAACACTTAAATGTCTTTGGGTGTTACCGGATCCGGCATGTTACACAAGGCTTCAACTTTTGCTAGGTTCAGTTCGATACCTCATTTGTTCACTATGTGCCCTAAGAACTGCCCAGATGATACATCGAATGCGTATTTTGCCGAGTTTAGCCGCATGTGATATCTTTTCAATACGTCAAAAGTGTTACGTAGGTGATCAATGTGTTGGCACCTTTCTCGGCTTTTGACGACCATATCGTCAATGTTAACTTCCATTGTATTTTCGATTTGATTTTTAAACATCTTGTTCACTAACCTTTGATAAGTCGAGCCGGCATTCTTGAGTCCGAAAGGCATAACGGTGTAACAATACAATCCACGCTCAGTGATAAAAGCACCTTTCTCTTTATCTTCAACAACCATAGGAATTTGGTTATAACCAGAATAAGCATCTAAGAAAGGCAATAGTGCGTACCCAGCCGTAGCATCCACCGTCTGGTCAATATTTGAAATTGGAAAACAATCTTTCCGGCATGCTCTGTTCAGGTTGGTATAATCCACATACACGCACCATTTTCCTTTTTCTTTCTTGCCCACCACCACGACATTCGAAACCCAAGTTGGGCACCAGACATCGCGAATGAATCCAACTTCAAGAAGCCTATTGACTTCTGCACTGATAATCTGATTTTGTTCTGGCGCAAATCTCCTCTGCTTTTGTCTGTGTGGAGGACAACTCGGATCAACATTTAACTGATGGCATGCCACTTCCGGGTTAATTCTTGGCATGTCCCTATGAGACCATGCAAAAACATCAGCGTTGCTCCTTAGAAATTTCAGCAACTCTTCAACTTCCGCATCAGATAGGAGGGAGCCCACCCATATTCGTTTCTCAAGATCGGTTGGATCCAAAACCTCTTCCCTCAGTGGTTCTATAGTTGGGGGTTCTTGATCGCCGTTTTCCTAATCCTGTTGTGGTGGGTCTTCCGCTAATTGTTATAATGGTTTATTCTCATGAAGGTCCGTGCTCTGTTGCACTTCCCTGATTGTCTTGATGTCTGTTGCCATGCTGTAGCATTTTCTGGCCTCCAGTTGATCCCTTTTGATGTCGATGGTCGTTTGACCATCCGTCGACAAACACCTCATTACTTGACATTTGGTTGACGCTTCCCCATCCATTCGATGGATCCAATCCCTTCGCATAATGGCATTATATGCACTCGGTGCATCGATGATGACAAAAGTGACGAAAAGAGTCTTACTTGCTGCCGTGACAGGAAGGGTCACGTATCTAATGGGCTGGGCCTTAGTTCCTTCAAATGCATAGATAGAAGTTGGATTTGGCCTTATCTCTTTCTCGTCTAATTTTATTATTCTAAATATGCTCCAAAATAAAATGTCTATGCTGCTTCTCCCATCTATCATTATCCTTGAGCTCTTGAATTGGCAACGCGTAGCGTCAAGACCAATGCGTCATTGTGAGGGAATTGAATTCCTTCGAGGTCTTTTTGGCTAAAGGAGATGACTTTTGAGATTATCTAATGCTTTAGACGCTTCAGGGGCTGATGTTATGTTGTGTACGCGTCTGGACTTCTCGACTTCCTGTCTTTGCGACTGATAACATGTTTCACATCCCTTAGGGGGTTGGGGCCCACCATGTATGACTTTGATATCCAACAACCTCTCATTTGCTCCAATCTTTCCTGTTACTGCTTGAAGTCCTCCGTCGTTCTTGCATTCGTTTCTCGATTCTACGCGGTATTGTGACAACATCCCCTTCTTCAGCATAGCTTCCACTTGGTTCCTTAGGCTTCGACAATCATTAGTGGCATAACCAAAGTCGTTGTTATGAGCGCACATCTTGTTCCTATCTAGCTTCTCTAACGGCGTTCGAATTGGGGCCGGTGCACGAAAGATTCCTTTTCCCTTGTTTTCGTGAAAAATTTTACCCAGGCTCACTGTCAACTTAGTGTTTGGGCGATCAAGTCTAGATCTTTCATTAAACCCATCATTCAGATCACGTGAGAATCTTCTTTCTTGACTCGGCTAAGTCGTGGGTTTCAAGGTAAGCACGGTAATGTCCGCTGGAGATGCAGCAATAGTCACGGTGGCCCGCTTTGATTGGATAAATTCCTCTTCCTCTAATCTGATGATTCCATCAGCTCGGGCCATCACTTTCCTCATGTCCAGTAGTGGTGTCTCGATTAACGACCTACGCATCTTCGATCCAGGCAACACCCCTTCTCGGAATGCCAAAGCGGCATTGTGAAAGTCACATTCTTCTAGGGTAGACATCTCTTCTGTGAACCTAGTAATGTAGCTCTTGAGGCTCTCGCCAACATTTTGTTTGGTGCTGAACAAGATCGTAACATCTTTTCTTGGCCTCCGATTACAGACATATTGAGATATGAACACTTCATAGAGATCTGTGAAACTTCCGATAGACCTCGGTTTCAGTTGTTTGAACCACGTTAAAGATGATCCCGAAAGACTTGAGGGGAACAACTTGCACATGAGGGCCTCATCGTCTCCTTCAAGCGCCATCTGCTGTTGAAAGTGGTAAATGTGTTCGATAGGATCAGTCGTACCTTCAAATAGCCTAAACTTTGGTTGGGTGAACTTGGCAGGTTTTTTAGCTTTCAGGATATCCTATGTGAACGACGATTAGCAAATTCCTCTGACCGCTTCTAAGGCAAGCTCCGCTGGGGTTTGTGGCTTGTATCCCTTCACAGTCATCTCAATTTGTTCTCGCAAATCAACATCTTTTACCTTTTTCGATCCTTTTCCCCTGTAGCCCCATTCGCCCTGATTTTTCGTCACTTCAACACAATTACTGGATGGCGTGCTACTAGAGCTACCTTCATTATCCTCCTCTTATGCACGTTGTCTTTTGGTGCCTGTTACATCTTCTACGACATTTCTCGCTTCAGCCTTCTTCAACGCCTCATCTGTCTTTTTTGTTTCACGCAATTCCCTCATTAACCTTCTAAATTGTTCCATGGCAAGACTGGGTTCACTATTTTGAGATTGAGACCTAGCATGTACCGATTGAGTCTCTACGTCTTCAGAGGGATTCAGAACTTCTTGTGTGGATCCAGTCATGTTTGTAGTTTGATTTTGTTTCCAATAGATGGCTCCAACTGTTGGAGTGAGATTTCCTACAAGAAGAAATACCTCCACAGATTTGTTGACCGCAATCCTCACATTCGTTGAATCCTTCTTCGAGACGTCCCAAAATAATCTTCCTCTGCAGTTTTCCCAGGCGGATACCTGCAAAAGATACTTCGATGCTCAAGTCAGTCGATTGGTTTATATTCTCTGGATCTCGAGTTCTCCTCACGTACCTTGTTCTTTGGTTACACTCCATCTTTATAGGATTGCATGCCTGGAGAACAAGTACCACGATCTCTTTTTCTTTCCCAATTCCTTAGTGGTCATCCGTAATATGACTGCATGCTTCGGGAACAAGCACCACATCATATTTTCCTTTCCCACTTCCTCAATGATCTTCCATAATATGACCGCATGCTTCGGGAACAAGCACTACGCCATATTTTCCTTTCCCACTTCCTCAATGATCCTCCGTAATGGAGGCGGTTACCTGGACACGTGCACCTGCCTGTTCCTCGTGGGCTCTCCTTATGGTTTACCTTGCATAACACCATCCTTAGGTGACTTGGACTGGCCCATGAGTCGAAACCGGATTTTATCCTCCAACAATATGTGCGTGTGTGTGATAAAATAAAATTGGGAGCCCCTTGGGAGTGAGCCCTAGGCAGCCCAGCCTTGACAACACCTAGCTCTAAATATATTCGGTAAAACAATTGGAAAGATGAAAAGGTTTGAAGAAAATGCTGGCATGGATGTGGAGTTATGAATTATATTTGGCGGGGTCTATAAATAATGTCGAAGTCGCTTAGAGTCAGCTCTAGGTTTGCTGTCTCCTTTTGTGTGTCTCATGTGTGTCTCTACTTCTTAATATTTTGACACATGTTTTCCACTTAACTGATAAATAACTCTGTTAAGTTTTTTTATTTAGGCCTAATCGGATAAATGATCCTCGTGGTCATAAGGTATTCAGATGATAGTCCTTGTGGTAAAAAAAATCAGATTTAAACCCCCATGGTCACAGTCTGTTAGGATTTAAACCCTTGTGGTCTAAGTCTGTTAGAATTTATGCCCTTCTGTCATTCCTCCATTAGGTTTAGGTTGGCAAAATCGGATAAATGATCCCCGTGGTCCTAAGGTATTCGGAAGATAGTCCATGTGGTAAAAAAAATTCGGATTTAAACCCATGTGGTCTAAGTTTGTTAGGATTTATGCCTGAAACTAGAGGTTCTGTCATTTCTCCGCTAAGCTTACAGGTGGAGCAGAGTTTCTCTGAGGAGACTCGACAGAACGAGGTGGAAGTAATAAATCACATAATTCATTAAAATTCAAGATCTAATAAATCAAATAATTCAAAATGCCTTTATAAAATTAACGAGTTTTTGACTCCCGAATATCCAACTGATTAATTAATTCTTTATAACAAATTCTATTTTTCTTTGACAAATAAAACAGTAATCGTTGGCGTTTTCTCATAATTTTACGTAAACCTCTCTGAGATAAATAGTTTTTTTTGTGTAATTGTAAATGTGAAGTAAGTCTTCGTATTCTATTGATGAAACTAACTATTTGAAATTCAACAGATCCTTTGTTTTCGTCTTTTTCTTCTTGTGTGAAATAACTGAGATGAATGAATTTTTTTACCATCAACTAAAATCTCCCCCCCCTCTTTTTATTGTAAGATATTTTTTATTGATAGATACTCAGAGAAACTCTGCTCCACATGTAAGCTTAACAAAGGAATGACAGAACCTCTAATTTCAGGCATAAATCCTAATAGACTTAGACCACAGGGGTTTAAATCCGAATTTTTTCTACCACATGGGCTATCTTCCGAATTCCTTATGACCACGGGGACCATTTATCTGATTTAGCCAACCTAAACCTAATGGAGGAATGACAGAATGACATAAATCCTAACAGACTTAGACCACATGTTTAAATCCTAACAGACTGTGACCACAAGGGTTTAAATCTAAATTTTTTTATTACAAGGGCTATCATCCGAATACCTTATGACCACGGGAACCATTTATCCAATTAGACCTTTTATTTAACATTTGGAAGTTAAAAAGAAAAATATTTAAAACAGAAACCGAAAGGTCTTGAGCCCTCTTCGACGCCCATGGTTTGCTTCTCTCACCCTCCTTTGTCTTTTCTCCAACCCATCACCACCATGAATCGATGGCAGCACAACCCAATCTAGAGAAATACAATATAATACTTAAAATAAAAATGAAAACTGAGAGACATTAAGTAGGCCAGTGAGTGAATCTGGAAAACCGAGAGGGACCTGAATCGGAGCAACCAGTTCTATTCTGGCACCATCTTAAGAGGGATTTCATGAATCTGGAAAAGGTTGACGGAAAGAAGAAGAAACAAAATTCCCCAGTCCCCACCCACCCTTACCCCCTACCTTACTCATGAATCTAGAAGTGGCAATGGGAAACCGCCATCGTCGGATTTGCCATCGTCGCCGTGATGCATCTCCTTCTGCAAACGCCTTAAGGTTTTTTGTCAGATGATGATTGGGGTACATTGCTTTGTGTTTTGCAGGATCTGGAGGACTCTATGCCTTAGGGATTTTTTACTTTTTAATATTTATTTATTTTAATTATTAAAAAATAACAATGTTAAGTTAGAGTTAAGTGGTATGACAAAGTATCAAAAAAATGAATAAGGAGACATAATAGAGACACTATTTTCGGGACAGCAAACCTAGAACCCTGAGGGTGCGTTTGTTGAACTGGACTATCTCGGACTGAACTAGCTTCAAAGACTAAGCTGGACTAGCTTATATTAGACTAAGTTGGACTAACTTAGTGAAACGTTTGGTGCAATGTCGGACTAAGAAACAAAATAATTAACAAATTTTAATGTTATATTATTTAATTCATATATATTAATATTTTATTATTCATTCTCTCTTTTTTATTTTTTCTTAAAACTCTTCTTCTTTCTCTGAAACAATTTCACAATTTGAGATATTATCAAAACCAACTCCCAATTCCATTAATTGTATATCAGATCAAACCAAAAGATATTCTAGAAATCTCTTCATCTTTCTGAAAGTCACAATTGCAGATCTCAAATTCCAAACGCAGATCAAATCAAAGCCAATTCCACAAATCTCTTCCCCTCTCTCTCGAAAGGCAACCTCTTCATCTGAGTGCAGCTAATGATCTTGTTTTCATCGCCGACGTCCCACTGCCTCAGCTGGCATTCTCGGCCTCCATATTCCTTACTCACCCACCATTGGGTTCACAAAGATCTTGTCTTTTGGAGATTTGGGTTTCAACGACGGTGATGCAGGTTCGTCGTCAATCGTGTGAAGCAGACGAATCGAGGTCGAAGTGAAGGAGATGAGTCGAGGTCAAAGCGAAGCAGACGAATCCCAAGTCGAAGCAAAGCACGGTCTTAGCTAGTCCGATGCTTTTCGGGAGCTCCCGCTAAGACCTTCTAGCGAAGGTTTTAGTCAAGGCGAGTCCTCTTTAGTCCCACTAAACTTATTCCTTCGGCGCAACAAACACAAGACTATTTTAACAAGTAGTCCAGTCTAGAAGTTAGTGAGGGTAAACAAACACACCCTTAGAGTCCACTCTGCAACTTCATCCTTGTCACTAACAAAAATTTCTGTACCCACATCAATTGATCCCCATATCCTTCTTGCAGAAGTGGTGCCGGGATCCTACAAAACCACAAACAGAAAATGTAAATCAATCACATGAAGTTATAAATGGTTTAAACTGAACACAAAATAGTTACCAAACACGACATTTTAATTTAATTAATTACCTGGTAGTAGTGGAGTTTACTGGATAGGCCTCCAACATCAAGCTCCCAAGTTCTAGCATCCCCAATCCAACCCTGCCCTTGTTTGGTTGGATAGCTGTACTCGGCCCAGATGGGGTGAGGAGGCAACTGAACTATCTCTTGTGCCTGGGATTACTGTAAGCATCACATACGCTTACAGGTTTCTCTAAATATTGAGCACTTCCCGGAGCACAGTAGAAGTGATAAGCCCCATATGGGAAGTTGGCGGTGTCGGTTCTATAAATTTTTCTGTTATCCGGAGTGATATGGTATGGCGGGCAATTGACTAAATTTGTGGGGCTGCACCAAGCCGCAGTTTCCGGGTTTGCCATCCCCGTGTATCTGGTCACGTCCGTGAGCACATCCCCGTCACAGGGTTTGCCATTGTTCTTCCAACAGCCACCAACGTCAATGAGGTAAAACTGGCTCTTGGGTCCTCCTCCTTTTTTGATGTCCAAAGTCAGCCTTACTTTAAAATTAGGTGATTCTGGAGGCTGAAAATTGACTTTCAATTGTAAGTTATGTGATAAAATGGACTAACATAATCCTTTTCTTCTCAAATAATCTAGAAGCAAAGTATATTAGAAAACACAGGCAAATCCAACTTCAAAGAAAGATGATTTTACATATAATTTGACACAAGTTAGTCTTCTCTACTTAATTAAATTAGATGCATAGCCTGGTGTCATGGAACTTGCGAGTTGCGGCTTTAGGCAAAAATTCAGCCTGACTTAGACCGCTTGATTAAGCGGCCTTGTGACCCTCACTGGAAGAACATCTCCAGGGTTGGCCTAATAGTACCATTAACAGTTAAAAAAACTTAAGAACTTGAAGTTTATAACACCGTTGACCATGGTTTGGTATGAAATGCTATCTAACAGTAACATAATTGAATAATTAATCTATTTATGCAAAAAGGACCGAGACAGATACAAGATTCATTATTCATGAAAATCCTCAGCTGAATAAATTAACACCAGAAAATCCAATTAGCTTGACAGATTCTCAGCCGTCCATTTGTGTCCTTGTTTTGTTAATTGGTAGTTTGTTATTTGTCATAAGATACAAGGAAAGTATATTTCCTGTATGCCAGTCACTACATTACATATTTTCTTAATCACCAAGACAAGCAATAAGACTAAACTTTGTGTATGCAATTACAAGTGTAAGTAACGTAATTA